CTCTGCCCCACACCCCTGCCAGCCCCAGTTGCCCAAGCTGGGGCGGAAACATCCTGGTTGTGTAAGGGACAGGTTCCCAGCCCAGTTGTGTAAGGGGCAGGTTCCCAGCCCTTTGCACAACAATGTCCTGGCACCGCAGCACTGGGGGGGGCACGGGGTGCCCTGGGTGCTGGCACCCTTTGGGCAGAGGTCACAGGGCTGACTTGGTGTCAGTGAGAGGCTGCCAGGGATCTTGCAGTGATTTGCTCCACTGGGGCTCAGATTGGGGTCAGAAAAGGGGTGGCTTTGTCCCCAGGTGGGACAAAGGACACCGCCCAGAGAACCCCATGCCAGGGAAGTGCCAGGACCTGGCTGGACAGCTGCAGGGAGCGAGACCCAGGATTGGGGATGCACAGAATGCCAAACCCTCTGCAACAGCCTCTTGGGCAACAGCACTTCCCTGGCCTGGAAGCAGGGTTACCCACACCTCGCCAGGCTCAGCTGGCACCACTGCCTTGGCACTGAGGTGGGGAGCTCAGGACCCACCATCCCCAGAGATGTGCCATGGCCCCATTCCACCATCTCCCTCCCTGTGGCAAAGAGGAGCCAGATCTGGGTGACAAACCCACTAACTGCTTTATTGCTGGATGGCCGTTGGCCACAAACACCATGCCCACAGCGGAGTTGCTCTGTCCCAAAGAGCAGGGAGGGTGGGCAGTGCTTGGCATCACTCCCCTAGCAATGGGGTCCTACCCCCTCGCCACCCAAGCCCCCTTTCAGCTGGGGTCCAGCATCCAGTGGTGGCCCTGCCCATCCCTGTGGCACCACTGCCCGTGTCCCAGGGAGCTGGGCGAGGATGCTGGGGTGCATGGGGTGCTGGAACCTGCTGGAAGCCACAAAGGTCAGGTCCTAGCAGGACTCAGAGGGTGGTGGAGGTGTTGCCAGAGGTGGAGGCGTAGGAGGTGCGTCCGTAGCGGGCCACAGCATCCTTGCTGATGAGCCCACGCTGAGCCAGGATCTTGAGGAAGCTGTTGCGAAACTTCTGCCCAATGAAGGCGTAGATGATGGGGTTGATGCAGCTGTGGGCAAAGCCCAGGACCTGTGTGATGGAGAGGGCCGCGTCGATGCGATTCCTCCTCTCACAGGTCTCAGCAATGGCCCGTGTCCTCATGAGGGTGTCGCTCACCAGCGTGATGTTGTAGGGCAGCCAGCAGATGAGGAAGACCAGCACCACGGCGAAGATGACCTTCATGGCCCGCTGCTTCTGGGTATTCTTGGTCTGCAGGAGGGTGTGGATGGTGACGCCATAGCAGAAGAGCATCACCAGGAGGGGCAGGGCGAAGCCGAAGGTCTGCGGCAGGATACGCAGCACGACCCGCCACTTGGCTGTGTCCTCGCCACCAATGCGCTCGTAGCACACGGTGCCGTTGCCTGGTGAGGTGAAAGCCTCACGGAAGAGTAGCACGGGCAAGGAGAGCAGCACGGAGAAGACCCAGATGCCCAAGCAGACAAACTTCACCCAGTGCCTCTTTTCAGTGGCGGCCCGAGTGGCGTAGACAATGGCCAGGTAGCGGTCCACGCTGATGCAGGCCAGCAGCAGGATGCCGCTATAGAAGTTGGCTTCCTGCAGCACAGAGATGGCTTTGCACATCACGGTGCCAAAGACCCACTCATGGGCTCGGTAGGCAGCCCAGAGCGGCAGGCTGAGGGCGAAGAGCAGGTCGGCCACAGCCAAGTTGAGCAGGTAGACATCGGTGACAGAGCGGTTGGTGTGGCTGGAGGTCACCACCAGCACCACCAGCCCATTCCCCACCACACTGAGGATGAAGACGAGGCAGTAGATCACCACCACCAGGTACTTGTTGAGGACAGAGCCATCGGGCCGGCACGGGGCAGAGGAGATAGCAGTGTCGGGCATGGCCGTGCTGTAGTCGTAGGTGTAGTTGAAGGGGAATAAGCTGAAGAAATCCCCACTGAAGGACAAAGACTCCATTTTGCCTGTGGAGCACAAAGCAGCCTGAGTGTGGGGTGGGAGGGTGGTGTGGACCAGGGGTGACAGCATTTCTGGGTCCCCTGGCATCTCCATTGCCCCCCAGGTCCCCTCCCAGCCAGCGGGCAGCCCCCCTCCATCATTCCACTGTATCCATGCTGTGCTAGGTAATGGACAGTGCTGCAGGTGGACACCATCCCTCATACATCCCCTTGTACAACACCCCCAGCACCCCTCAGTCTGCTCCACTTCACCCCAAACCTGTTCCTTCCCTGTCCCCCATGGAGGAAGGGGTTCCCCCCCAGACCAGCCACCTCTTCTCCAGTTGGGGGGTGCCCCCATCAATGCAGCACTACGTCCCTCCAGGAGAGACCTGGCCCCTCCAGCATCCCTGGGTCCACATGGTTTGTGTGGGTCCTTCAAAAGCCTCTGAGCTCTTTAGGCATCTCAGGGTCCCTCAGGCACCTCCAAAGTCCTTCGAGCACCTCTGGATCCCTCCAGCCTCTCCGTCCCCTCAAGCATCGTGGCTGGAGCTGCCCCCTCCTGCCACCCCAGCCAGCGGTGAGGCTGCAGTCACAGTGCCTGGGGCAGGTGGCACTCGAGACAGTCCAAAGGTGGTTTCATGCCCTTCTTCCCCTGCCCCAGTCCCGTCCCTGTGTCAGTGGTTTCACGCCCCGGACGGAAAGACATGTCACTCTTTGCAGGTGGCTTTGGAAATATTACACTTCTCTGGTTTTCCTGTTGCTCAGCTGGGTGCTGCCGGGCATCCCCATGTCCCCTGTACTCAACCGCAATGGGGAAATCACAGCTGACAGTCGCTCTTCCTGTCTCCTGTGCAGGACAACCTGCTCTGTCCCTGCCTCCCCCAAAACCATTGGGTTTCAGCCTTTTCCCAGTATGGATCCAGACTCTCACTCCAGTTTCACCCCTCTGCCCCATTTCCAAGCCCCCGAGCCTCTCCAGGGATTGGTGATGCCAGGGATGCTTGGGGGTGCTGAGGAGTCCCTGGGCCCTGAGCTGGCCCTGTTTGAACCCGAACCCTCCCTGGGGGCAACTTTCCCCTTCTGCCCAGTGGGGATTCCCTGCTGCAGCTGGGCCAGTGCCCCTGCCCAGAAAAACCCCTCCCTGCCAGCCCCACTCCTGCAGTGATGCTGGGGTGGTGATGCTCCAGCACCCTGGAGGACCACGGCTGGGGACATTGCTGGTGCCTATGGGAGAAGGCCCCCCCGACTGGGGCCACCACAGGCACGGGGCAGAGCCGGACACTAGCGCTTCCGCTCAGCCTATTTTTGGCTGCTTCTTTCTGCCTCCCCACTCCAAAATCCTGGCAGTTCCTCCGGGACTGGGTATCCTCCACCCACAGGTACCCCCGCTGCACCTCATCTCACCTCCTGACCCTGGAAGGGCTGGAGGACACCGGGGTGGCCCTGAGGGTCCCCTTGGGGAGGAAGGAGGGACATGCCATGGGGAAGCACCCTCCCGGCTCATTGCTGTGCAAGGAAACAGGAGCGGATGCTTTCCCCCTGGGGCACCCACGGCCGATGTCCCTGGGGACCATGGGGGGTTTACACCCCCGATGAGCCCCGAGCACAGCCCTGTGCGCCCCCACCTGCCATCTTCCACCCCCCACACACACACCAGGCAGCCCCTCGGGCAGCCGGAGCAGCCCACGCCAGCCCCCAGCCTGGCCCACCCCGCATGCGAGGGGGCTCAGCTGGGTGCTGGGGTGCCGGCGAAGCTCAAGGAAATCCCCAATCACCCCGGGGACTCACCACTCACTGCCCTCGCCGTCCCCCCAACTCCGGGGTCTTCTCCCTGTCCTGAGCGGGTCCTCACCGGGGAGCACTCAGGCACCGGGATGAATCCAGACGTCACCCCCAAAAGGCTCCGGTGTAGAGCTTGGTGGGACACAGGGCAGCACCAGGCCTGGGGGTCCCGCCAGGCCAGCCGGAGGGTCCCTCACCTGCGCCCGCTGCCGTGCCACCTCCTGGAGCCCCTTCCCTCTGCCGCCCGCTTTATGCCGCCCGGGGAGGAAGCAATGTTGCAAAACCTTCTCCCAGCGTGAAGGGGAAGTGACAGCCAGAAGGGACCCTTCCCCGCTCCCCCCAGGACGCCTTCCCTGGGGCGGGGGGGAAGCCCCCAGCACCGCAGCCATCCTCCTGCCCCAGGGTGTCCCAGGCCACCCGGCAGCAGGTGACATTGGGGTGCACCCAGGTGTGCATGTATCCCAATGCAGTGATGCACTCCGAGGGTGTCCAGCCAAGGGTCCCCACCTTGTCCCCTGCCCCCCAGCAGATGGGGGGCTCCCCTTTGAGGCCCCCCCGGGTGCTGCAGTACTCCTGGGAGAGCAGAGCCCCCCCAGGGCCGTGGAGGGGTTTGGCAGGAAGGCTGGTGGGCCAAGGCAGGGCAGGGCTCCGTGCCTCAGTTTCCCCATCGATAGAGCGGGGGTTGGTGCCGGGGTTTTGAGGGGGCACAGGGGCACTGTGGGGCTGGCTTGCTCCTCTTGCAGGGTGCTGCTGGGGACCCCCCAGAGCAGAGCCCTGTGTCCCTCCCACCCTGGCTGTGCCGGGCTGTTACAAGCCAATGCGCGCCGCCAGGCGAAGCTGTGCCCCCACACCAGCACCACAGACTCAGGGGACCCCCTCTAGCCCCCCCATAATCCTGGGGCAGCCCTAGTCCCCTGAGCACCCCTATGGCCTTTGGGGGAAGCCTGCACCCCTGGGTACTCTCCGGGGACTCTCTCCCTCTGGAGCACCCCAAGCCTTTGGGGCACCCCCATCCCCACAGCTTTTGTGTGCCTGTCAGTTTTAGGGGTGCCACACATTTTTGGGGCACCTCTGTTCCCTGGGGGCACCCGTACAGTTGTAGGTCACTGTCGTACCCATGGGGCAGCACCACAGCTCCAGGAACACTCCTATTCCATGGGGACACCCCCATGCTCTTCTGGGCTGACCCTAAAGTTTTGGGCTCCCCCCCCAGCCCCAGGGCCTCCTCACAGTTCCCCTAGGGTGTCCCCATTCCCTGGGGCACTCCCACGCTTTTGAGGACCCCCATCCCTTTGGGGCACCCTCTCATCACCCTGGGTCACCCCTGTTCCCTGGGGGGCCCCCACGCTTTTGGGGTCCCATAACCCTGGGATCATCCAGCCCACGGGACACCCCTTTTCCCCATGGGCACCCCCATACCCCTGGAGCACCCCATGCTTGTGCAGACCCCCATACTCTGGGGCACACCCACATCTGCCTGGGGTACCCCTCTTCCCCGGGAACCTCCACACTTTTGGGGACCTCCTTACCCCAGGAGCACCCCATATCCCTCGGGGCACCCCCACACTTTTGAGGAGCCCCTTACCCCAGGCGCACCCCACACCCCTGCCCCCCCACAACTGGAGGGACCCCCATACCCTGGGGCCACCCCCAGCTCCCCGGGGCGCCC